TTACTTGTCTGAGGGTAGAAAAGGAATACAATCAATGCGAAAAAGAAAAGAAGATTGCTCACAGAAGTGAAAGCCGACTCAGCCGAGTCCCAAACGGTGACCAGTGCATTCTCAGCGACTAGCCGCAGAAAATCCTTGATAGAGGAAGCCCTAGCTAGAGATCCAATGAATGCCAGAATACAGGTTATGAGGGGGACTCCGCCTCCTTTTTCATTCTCCGTCTTTACGTACAACGGAAGTGTCACCAATGTGCCCTCCACTTGTCATCTGTGAAAACGATGAGTGAGGTGATGCCATATCAAGCATTCCTATGTGATTGTCTATACATGCCAGTAAAATGGTCGACTACGCATCTCTCATCACTTAGAAACATATCTACACATGAATATTATTCGACATAACACAACAGCAACTACCCTGTTATAGACAGGTGTTCCAGATTCGCCTCTTTCCAAAGGTCCTTCACAAGTCGAGAGATTATGTTCACCGGCAAGTCCAAGTAACAAAGGCTGCAGGTTAGAACAGACAACTTTGACACACTCAGCAAAGTTGCCAACAGACTCCACAATCGACGGAGGCAAGTCAAATGCAAGTAATGCAGACTCATGGCAATTGATCACATTCGGTAATTCCCCATGTTCAGTGCAGGCATACAACTTCCAACTCGCGGAGGCACTATATCCCTTATATGCAGACTCTCAAGGTGAAAAAGAAAGAGTGGGTAACACAACTCTTCTTAACCGCCTACATTCTACGCAACGAGTTTACTAGGAAAATCCCTGGTTGCACACCAAAAGTTCAAAAAACGCCTGTCGGAACAATTCACACAATGCGCGGTGGCACTTAGACATGACATGATTATGTAGTCAAACAAACAGAAATACCTTAGAAAAATTATTTTTAAAAGACAAAACTAAAAAAAGTGAGCAGCGTTAAAAAGGACAACACAATTGTATTAAATACAATAATACAATACAATTGTAAGCAAATTTTGCAGCAAGAGTAAAAGGTACATGCTTCTATAATAAATGTTTGTCTATTATTAATGCGCTGTTGATTTTATATAATCTAACTTTTTTACCAGTTAAAGTTTTTAAAGGTTTGCAAAACTAAGCTTATTAATTATAAATACTTGACTTACACCTTCTTGTGACGAAACTAACTTGATATCAACCGCGCTATCATTCTAACTTTGACCCACGTATATGTTTACATACTTTTCTTCCTATAAGCCTACCATCTTTGTTTAAAATAAAAGTGGTCTATGTGTAAACAATGCATCTATAAAATAGTGATTCGGGTTGAAATAAGCGAGTGGACCCATTTGCTCGCAAATTGTGTGTGCCAAGTCTTTACTTGTTTCCCTCCTTATCTAACCCAGTGGACCATACGTTGATGTTAAATGCATGTGATGAAGTTTTCACCGGGCCTACTGCTGACAATACCACGTTCGATCAAGAATGACTGGTTTAGGCCGTGGTCACATATCTTTGCCTCCTTTCGCAGGATACGTACGATTGTATGGCTTTTTATGATGAAAAAGTACAACAGAAGGAAAACAAAGAAGACCGATTACAAATCAATATTTGAAGTTGAAGTATTAATCAAAAATGATTTTTGGCTACTTTTGATGTGCGCATTTAAACAAGTAAGTAAATGCGAGAAAAACATTCCACGCTTATTCAAAGCGTGCCCAAATTTTGTTTTAAGATTATGTCAATCCTCTCCACCACAAAATGCATCGACTACTGGGTAGCTGCCGCATACATTACTGTAGCGTCTCGAGACTTCCCTGGACACGAAAGAATACACAATGCTCATGCAGAATATATATTCAGCACTGAGAAGGTGTTTGGGTTACTGGCCTAGCCCGAAGGCCAGCCCACCCAGCGTGGTACAAGAAGGCATATTCAAACGTCCAAAAGTGGCGCCTTTCCATCACCGAGGAATGAGCCACCATCGTATTACACAGCCTCCCTCCTCTTTTGAGCATCGTCCTCAGCGCTCCCACAGGTCAACCTTCCGCGTCAGCCATTACGACGTAGTCGGTGCTGTAAAGAAACACCTGGGATTCGGTCGTGCCAGTCACCAAATTATCGTTCATACTGAGGAGATACTTGACCTCAACGTCACTGATCCCTCTTGGCAATTTAACTTGATCTGTAGTTTCCTCCGGTTTGAAAACAATTTTTTTCGAAATGGGAAATTGTGCTGGCTATTGTGCATGTCCATAGATAGATGTAGGAACTCTGGCAGGTCCAGTAGGGGGTTTCGCGTCTGTTCCTCCTTGCCACGTTGTTCCTATTTTAGAGGATAGATGAAGTCTGTAACGAAACTTCCAGATGGTTCACGGCTAGTGTCGCTTCACTTGTTAATAGCTTTTTTTGCAATACGAGACAGGATTGATGTCGAAGGTAGACGACAACTTCAACTTTTCTCTTAGGGGTCATCACTATTCTCCTATCCGTAACATATGCACTTCTTCCGCTCCGCTGAGGTTTGTCACACAGCAATAAAAATCAGGATACATAACCTTTAGGATTGGGTTCAATTTCCGCTCCCACCACTGTAGCGTTCCGAGACTTCTCTGAAGAAGAAAGAAGACTAAACCTGGACAGAATATATATTAAGGGCAGAGAATGTGTATGGGTTGCTGGCATGGCCCAAAGGCTAGCCCACCCAGCGTGGTACAAGAAGGCAAATTCAAAAGTCCAAGAGTGGCGCCTTCCCAATACCGAGGGATAAACTACCATTGTATTACATTATTTTGCCCAAATTAAGGGCATTACTTTCACTTTTAACAATGCAATAGCCCTTTGTTGGGACAAAA